AACTTCTAAATTATCTCTGAAATGTACCCCTTCCTCTTCACTTTTACCAGTACTCTATTACTTCAGTTCTGTGTTACTTCTCAACTGTGCAATTCAACATAATTCCTTTACTTCCAGTTTCTAACTTGTTCCAATTAAGGAAAATTACTTTAATAGGAGTATAGAAGATAAAATACACTGTACTTTTTTCTCACAAACTTTCCCTAGCTCTCTTGGCCTGCACAATTAAACATATATTTTAGCCTACGTCTAAAGCAAAGTAGCTGCACCCTACCATTCAAACTCTTTTTACAGTTCTTCCCAATACATGGCCTATGGTCTAGCCAAATTGAACCTTGCACACCTCTTCATGTGACTTGAACGTTTCCACCTTCAGCCTGGCCATGCTCGTGCCTCCATTTGCAATGTTGTTTCTAGTGACTCTTTGTTTCTAAATTGGGTGCATTTTTTAAAGCTCACTGAATTCTTTTCTGAATTCTTCCACCAGAATAATTTTCTACCACATCTATGTATTCTTAGAACTTATGTATAGTTTCTTAAATGTACCTACATAAATTATTTCATATTGTAATTCTTTATAAACAAGATTTATCCTCTTTCAGGAAGTGTTCATAAGCCCCTTGAAATCCTAGTCTGTTATTTTTTATTCAGCTCCTATTTCCCCCAAAAAACCTTAGCACAATGGTTAAAAGACCGACTGAGTACATATGAAAATATATAATTATGAATATCATACACAGATATCTATGACTGAACTACTGTTAACCATGCAGAATCCATTCCGTGCACTTACAGGCTCTCAACCACATTCAGTATAGTTAAAGTCACTTTGGGAAACATCATATGTGAATGAAATGTTCTTTAATATTCATATGAGTATTCATATAGCAGAATTTCTCAGCCTTGGCACAATTGACATTTTGGGCCAAATAGTTCTTTGTTGTGGGGGCTGTCCTATGCATTGTAGGGTGTTTAGCAGCATCCCTGGGCTCTACCCACTAGATGCCAGGAACAGCCTTCCCCTATTGTGACAATCAAAAATGTCTCCTGATGTTGCCAAATGTCCACCGGGGGCCAAATCTGCTCCAGTCTTGTTGAGAATCATAGTCTCACAATAGAGTCTACCCAACCATACACCCACATGTATCAGTCAGAGTAGGTTGTGTTATGCATTGGTAACAAAACCCAACCTTATCACAATAAGCATTTCTCATTCACTCAGAGTCCAATACTGATATTCCTATTTGAGTATCTTCCCTGAGTGACCTTTCTCCAAGCAGGGACTCAAATGTGGACTCCTGTCGCGTGTCTCAACAATCTCAGAAGCCTCTGCTTTCAGCTGCATGTATGTGTGTGAGAGAGAAGGTGGTGGATTGTGAAAGATAGTTCCAAGCCAGACCTGAAAATGGGTTCCATTTCTTCTGCTCAGTTCACTGACCAAAACTAGTCACATGGTGCCACCTGTACGCAAAGGAGTTGGGAATTGTAGCCTTTTTGTAAGTTGCAGAGGAAAATGAAACAGTTTGATAAACACATTGTTTCAGTCACATTACATGTATATCATTGAAATTTAATTACCAGAATTTTTGAAGAGTACTTACTGTCCAAGAACAAAATGTATTCAATAACATATTTTTAGGGCCGGCCCCGTGGCTTGGCAGTTGAGTGCGGGCACTCCGCTGCTGGCGGCCCGGGTTCGGATCCCAGGCGCACACACACGCACGGCTTCTCCGGCCATGCTGAGGCCGCGTCCCACATACAGCAACTAGAAGGATGTGCAACTATGACATACAACTATCTACTGGGGCTTTGGGGAAAGAAAGGAGGAGGATTGGCAATAGATGTTAGCTCAGAGCCGGTCTTCCTCAGCAAAAAGAGGAGGATTAGCACGGATGTTAGCTCAGGGCTGATCTTCCTCACACACAAAAAAGATAATAATAATAATATATTTTTAAAATTTTATATGGAACCTCAACTTCTAGAGAAAGGGGAGTAACAGGGACTGGATTTACTCCACATCACCTCCCTCCCATACTCCTCAAACAACCAACAAACAGGCAAAATATATGAAACAGTCCTTGTCAAGACAGTGATCTTTAACAGAAAACAAACAAGGAAGTTTTATTTGTAATAGCCCAAACAAGAAAAAATTCCATTAACAGGTGGATTGATAAATAGATTGCAGTCTAGCCATGTAATAGAATATAACTCACAATAAAAAAGAATGAACTACCTATTGATATATGCAACGATATGAAAGATTCTCAAAATAATAATAATGAGTTAAAGTTATCAGACAAAATAGATTACTTACTATATGATTACGTTGATACAAAATTCTAAAAATGCAAACTAATCTATAGTGAGAGAAAGCCCAGCAGTGGTTGCCTGGGGATAGCGGAGTGGAGGGAGGGAAAGGTAAGAGGGAGAGATTACACAAGGGCATGAGGAAACTTTTGATGGTGATAGAAATGTTCACAATCTTGATTGTGGCAATTATTTCATGGATGTATACATATGTCATAACTTATTAAATTACTTGGGGCAGGCCTGGTGGTGCAAGTGGTTAAGTGCTCCCGCTCCGCTGCGGCGGCCTAGGGTTTGCCGGTTTGGATCCCGGCATGCACCGACGCACTGCTTGTCAGGCCTTGCTGTGGCGGCATCCCATATAAAGTGGAGGAAGATGGGCATGGATGTTGGCCCAGGGCCAGTCTTCCTCAGCAAAAGGAGGAGGATTGGCAGATGTTAGCTCAGGGCCAATCTGCCTCACACACACAAAAAAACCCATTAAATTACATACTTAAATTTGTGCAGTTTATTTTATTTTAGTTACTCTAATTTTCATGTAATTCAATTTCGATGTGCTTTAGTCTATCCAGGGTCTCCAGAACATCAACTTTCCAAGGCCAAAATAAATACAGACACACAAAGCATGAGACTCAATGCAGGCCCTCCTTTCCTATATTACGTGGACCTGGCCTTTCTTTCTCAGGAAGTAAGAATCAATATTCACAGGGAGGGTAGCTGAAAATAAATAATAAAACTTTAGGCAAGAAAAGAAGAATCCAAATCAAAGCATCTGAATTGCAGGCTTCTTGCTTAGAGTCAAAGTGCCTGATTTTTGCTTCAAACCTCCTGGAATTTCATCAAAGTCAAAATTTGCTCAAGATTCCCAAGTTTGATGAATTATTTGCATGTTTATGGGATGTGGGAACTGCTTTAGCCTGAGCCATTGGAAACAGATCAGTGACCTGGCCTTCAGATACTGGCTCTAAGATGCTTCTCTGCTGCATAAGTTTCAAAGATTCAGCAACACTCTCTACCTTGTGTAAGGTCACTGACTCCCAAAGGTCTCAGCCTTATTCTACTTAAGCCTCATTTCTACCCTCCAAGATCCTAAGGGAAATTTTCATCAAAAGCAGATTCAGTGCCAAGCCAAAGACACCTGTCAATGGAAAAAGATTAAGTTTTCAACCATCTGTACCGTTGCTTTCTGAAGGAGGAAATCATTGATCTGTCTGTGAGTGCAGTGGAGAAAAATTTATTAAAAGAGGAAAATATGGCTCAAGTGTGAAAATCAATGCAGTTAAGAGAAGAAATGGACAAACGGAAACTTTGCAGATATTCCACAAAGAGGGAGAGAGAAATGACAATTGACTTTCAGTGAAATACAAATATGATGAGAAAATGAAATCACTTTGTTCACGCAGTTTAATTTCTAAGAAGAATGTCTTAAGGGAAAATATTCTATAATTTGAATTCTAATCCTGAAGCAGAGAAATATGCTAAGATTTTTTAAAAAATGACTCTCAACTTTAAATAAATAAAAGAGAATATTTTTTAACTTATATAAAATAAAAAATTTTATCCTCCAGAGTCTGATGTATTTTCATACCTATCGATTTGCTAGCTCCAAATGATATTTTTTTCAATTGGCAAAAAGATAATTAATATCCTCCACAAAGAATGGTTATACAATTACCTTTTCTTCCATTTTGAATTCTCTGAGAGTCTAGCATGGAACTTGATGTATCGTCTTATAAGTGTTAGGAGTAGAGACATGACTCAAACCAATTATATCTATAGCAGAAAATATATTGTAACATCACATTTTCTATAACTACAGCAATATAATCATAAATGTATCAAGAAAGAAACATTTATGGAAATCTCTACCACATGGAAGAGAGTTGTTTTGTTTTGTTTTGTTTTTGGTGAGGATGATTGTCCCTGAGCTAACATCTGTCCCAATTTCCTCCACTTTGCATGTGGGACGCCACCACAGCATGGCTTGACAAGTGGTGTGCAGGTCCTCACCCGGGATCGGAACCCTCAAACCCTGGGCTGCCGAAGTGGAGTGCACGAACCCAACCATTATACCACCAGGCCAGCCCTGGAAGAGAATTTTAAACTCATAAGTATGATTTAGGGCAAAAAACAAAGTCTTTGTAGCTAGAAAGTTGAGTTCAAGACTTATCTCCACTTCTAACAAGATGTGGATAGTAGACTGTAAAAATGAAAATTTCTGCTGGGATCTTAATGTGACAGACATTAAATACCAATATAAATTGTGAAACAGACCACCACCCAAGTCAGATGACTCTTGAACTCCCCATTCCCATTAAGAGTATTAGAGGATCAGGAGAAGAGCAGATTGGAAAGGTGGGGAGGAATGGATTTGTCTGGAGAAGTCCTGCTGTGAGTTCCATGGCTCCACAGGTGGAAGTTTAGGAGGCACAGGTCCCTTCTCTCAAACCTGGTGAGAAGGTCCTCAAAAAGATTAATCAGAGAGTTGTTTTTTTGTTTGTTTTTTTTTTATGTTAGCCTACTCTGCAGTTGAGAGATGAGAATGGATTTGAATCCAAACCAAAAAAAAGACAGCCAGCACAAGATCAGCTTAGGACCTATCCAGTGGGGCTGCCTAGGGCAATGGGCACCCAGCAGGAAGAAGGAGAGGTAGGCCACTGAATTCTTAGTCTCTGCAAAAGTCTCTGCAAGCCCCCTGCCCAAGTAGTGACAGTGCTCTGCTGACTTAAAAAAATCTCCAATAGAGATCATTAGCAATTAATTAGGATGGAGGAGATACCAGAGAACCCACATCCCAACCTAAAAAGCACCCAAACCAGGAAGAGTCAGCTTTATTTTATTTATTTATTTATTTTTGTGACGAAGATCTGCCCTGAGCTAACATCCATGATAATCCTCCTCTTTTTGCTGAGGAAGACCGGCTCTAAGTTAACATCTGTTGCCAATCCTCCTCCCTTTTTTCCCTAAAGTCCCAGTAGATAGTTGTATGTCATAGTTGCACATCCTTCCAGTTGTTGTATGTGGGACGCGGCCTCAGCATGGCCGGAGAAGCGGTGCGTTGGTGCGCGCCTGGGATCCGAACCCGGGCCGCCAGCAGCGGAGCGCACGCACTTAACCGCTAAGCCACAGGGCGGGCCCAAGAGTCAGCTTTAAAGATCTTCCAGGCACAAGGAGTGCAAAGCTAAGTCAGGTAATGGGTAAGGCAGGACTGGATCTGTAAAAATGAAAAGCTGGCTGTCCTTCCCTGGATGCTCATCCTCCCTGCTTGAGGCGCTACCAAGGGAATGAAGGGTTAATGGTTATATGGGATGAGACAGTCTAATTTATAATCTGAAATTATGCTTGATGATTTAAAGTGACCCTGCGATATCGTATTCCCTGAAAGTAACCAAAAAACTCATGAGCTTCCTGAATATTCATCTAATGGAGCAGAGGGAACGCTAGACCCATTGACTTGTTTAAGAGAGAGAGTGAGGGACAAAAATTACTGTATTTTCCGTTTGCATCTCACTGGTAAAGCTTGTTTAAGATACTAGCTACACGGACGATTTTAGGCAATTTGTTTAGCCTCACTAAACTTCTCTTTCCTTACTGTTATTAAGAGGATTAAATAAGAAAATATGTGGAAAGATTGAATATGTTAAAAATAAATTCATCTGCCACGCTTCTGAATACCGCTCTTCAGCCCTTTCTTGCCATTGCCAGCTTCCTGCTCCCCTCCACATCTCCTTTCCGTCTGCTTTCTACAGCTTCTTTCCTTCATTCAATTCTTTTTCCCTCCTTTTGAGTTGCTGTCACGAATGTTGGCACTTTTGTTTGTGAAGTGGAACAGAAAAAAATTAGGCCTACATCAGAAAAATTCTCTTTAAAAGTGCAGAAAGAACTATCAGGGATACACAAACAATTTATAGCAGATAAAAGAATTTGAAAAGTAAAAGAATACAGGATCCATTCAGGAAGGATCAATCACTATTCACACCTAGACAGCAACAATGGAAGTTTCTAATGGAGACCCTGAATCACTGAGGAAAAAATGAACTGTGTTCATAAGATTATAATTAATAGGACAGCGACCAAGGAATCTGGAACAGCATTTTATCAAATATCATATCAACAGATAATCGGTAGTTATCATATAGTTGCCAGATGTGAAATTTAATAAAAGTTCAATATCTGTTCATGATGATAAACATCTTACTAAATATATTAGTGATAAAAGAATCACTTAAAAATACTAGTATTAACTAGTAGTCAACAGTAGATTTAATAATGCAACAATGAAGCATTCTCATCAAACCCAGCAATGAGAGAAAGATGGCTATTATTTTCATTATTTAGTATTGATTTAGAAATGGCAGTCATCAAAATAAAACATGAAAAAGAAATAATTGGTATAACTTTTTGAAAAAGACAAAAAATTTTTGCTCTTGGAAGTAAACAATCCAAAATTGTTACCTTAAGAATGATTATAATTAATAACCTACCTCAGCAAAGTGAACTATTTAAGGTAAATATACAAAAGTTAATAATTTTCATATATACAGCAATAACCAATTTGAAGACGTAATAAACAATTCCCAAGATGATTTTTAAATTGGAATACTATAACTTTAAACTAGTTAACAAGGAATTGTGAGGGGAGAATTATTAATTACACATATGTAACAAGAGCCAAACAAATTTGCGTAAATGGAAAGTCACACCATGCTTCTAGGGCAGAAGAACAATGTTGTGATTACAGCAGATCTTCAGAAGTCAACTTATACTTTCAAACTAACCTCAATCAAATATTACAAACAAAACCCAAAGAAACTTTCATATTTACATGGAAGATTAAAGGTTAAAACAGTTAAATAGTTAAAATAATACTTTTAATGCAAGGTTGATATGATGGGGCTTGAGGGCTCAGTTGAAGCTATAAATGACATTAAAACATGCTATAAGGCTGTGACAATTTTCAGCATGGTAAAATGATCACAGAGAATTAAAAAACAGGCCTAGGAACTAAAATAAATAGATTTAAAGAGAAACAAGAATATATCAAACATAATGAAGGATTTTAAATGAAATATCATAATAACTATTAGGGAAGGAGAAGATTATTTAACAAATGTTACTGTAACTATTAAGTCAATTATTTTAAAATATAATAAATTTTATCTTCACATATTGTTCTAAAACAAATTCTAGAAGGATTACAGTTTAAAAATAGTAAAAGAAGTCACCAAGGTGAAAACCCAACAGATTTGATCTCAAAATATTTCATAAATCTGTGCTTCAAAGGTATGATAAACACATTTAAAAGATAATCAACAAACTGGAAAATTATGTTTGCAAAAAATTTAATGCCAATACAAGGTTAATAGGTATACTTTTTAAAGACTTTATGAAATTGAAATTAAATAAAGACCTTAATTTCCCAGTAGCCCAAAGATAATTCACAAAAGAGAATATACAAATGGCTAATAATCATATGAAAGACTTTCAACTTAATAATCAAAGAAATTCAAATTAAAACAATGGGATACCATCTTCACCTTTAAAATTTGTAATTATATCTTTAATATTGATAAAACATAAATTGGTACTGATCTGCCGGTTTTTCATTCATTCATCATTTTATTCATCCATTAAGCAAATATTGGTTCAACACTTGTTGTGATTAAGGCTTATGGTGTTGGACTCATACCTGCATCTTTTACCTCAAGACTTCTTGTTTGCTCTTGGCTCTCAATAAGCCTGCCATGTTTAGATGAATTCCTCTACTTCAATTGCATTTCTTTGCATATGATGGCTTTCTATCAGGCACAAAGGAATGTCTCTTGCATCGTGGAGAAGCAAAGGGATTGTATTAGTTTGTCTTGCTGCTGTAACAAATTGCAATAAACTTAGTGGGTTAAAACAGCGCAAATTTCAAATCTTACAGTTCTGGAGGTCAGAAGTCAGACATTGGTCTCACTGGGCTAAAATCAAGGTGTTGGCAGGGCTACATTCCTTTCTGGAGGCCCTAAGGAGGATCCATTTTCTTGCCTTTTCCAGCATCTAGAGGCTGGCCACATTCCTTGGCTCATGGCCTCTTCCATATTCAAAGCCAGTTATGATCAGCTGAGTCTTTCCCATGAAGCCATCTCTCTGGTCCTGATTCTTCTGGTTCCCCCTCCCTCACTTAAGGACCCTTGTAATTACACTGGGATCACCCAGATAGTCTAAGGTAATCTCTTTATTTTAATGTCAAATGATTAGCAATCTTAGTACCATCTGTAACTTTAATTTCTTTTTGCCATGTAATATATTCACAGCTTCCAGGGATCAAGACATGAACATCTTTTGGGGCCATTACTCTGCTAACTACAGTGATATACTGGAAAAAAAAAAAAAAGCATAGATTTTTAATCATATAGTTATGATTTTGGATTTTCATTCTTTTCACTTATGTTCTATATTTGTGACATTGTGCAAGACTCTGAGTCTTCATGTGTACAGTAAGAAAAGCAACCAAACAAGCTATTACAAAGGTTAAAGATATGTGTAGCACACAGCAAACATTTAATAAATGATGCTTATTATAATTATCTAAAAACTGTACCAACATTTTAGCTTCAACACCAGTTACATTTCCACAGAGTCCATTTACATGCCTCCAATGAAGCAAATGTTTGTCTCTGTGGCATCCATCTGACCACACATCAAACAATCAAACATCAACTGCGTGCCAGCATTGTGCTTATGCCATCCAAATTAATTCCAGAAATGCAGATACAATATTTATTCTGAACTTTAAAGATCCAATCAACTAGTTACTGTAAAAACATCCAAAGTATTATATATCATTTTCTTGTACAGGTGATTTAAATGTAAAAGAATCTAATTTGTGAGACCAGAAAGATTATTAAAGCAATTAACTGAAGTTGAGGAATGATTTAACAAAGTAATTGTGAGGGAGGAGGAAATATTGTGTTAATTATAGATATGTAACGAGTTGAAGCATAGCATAGAGAGTGAGATTATTAGAATTACTTGTTATCACAGATTAAAGTATGCATTTCCTGATAATAATTTCTTATTAATTTGTATGGAATTGCAGATTATTGCTCCCACTACTCATTTTGAGTTAAAGACAAAATTTTGTATTTGAGAAATATTAATTAATGCTTTACTAGTACAGTATGCTTTACCCGTACAGTACAATATAATTTTACCCCACAAAACAAGCCATTGGATGGACTGAGGAAAAAACAGACAGCATTTTGATAGGTAGAGAGAATTGGGAAAGAGTCATCTCAAGGCACAGTCATTTATTTTCTGCTTGAATGATATTAAGAACTATTAGATAGATTCTGCTTTACATCTCACCAAATGTGGCTCTTTTCCCCATATTCTTTTCTCTTTGTCACTAACATAGTTGTAATTATTTTCAATATTATTTTTTGCATAAAATTATGCTCAGAGACTGAGACTGTCTTTGCCAATAGTTTACTCAACACAGGTTCACTGTGGGATTTATAATAGTTTCACAAGCCAGTAGCATACAGGACAAGGTCTCATAATAAGCCAATAAAGAAATAATGTAACATACTCTAAACCAATGACAGATTTATCACACTATTGTTCCAGTCAAGGGGAGATGAACGGAATAAAGTCCAAATTTAGTTCAAGGTGTATCTTTTTATAGAGAGGCACTCAGGAGAGACGGCTTGACCAACGGTGAGCTGAAGGGCAGCTGGCACCTAGAAACAAAAGCGAAACGTCCGCTGTTGCGAGAGCACGTTGCTAGGGAACGGACGCGACGCTGTTGGCGGGCAGGCAGATCTCCTTCATGGGGCCGCTGAGCGCCCATAAGGGAGTCGTCCTTACCACGGTAGGAGCTAATGCCCCACAGTTTTTGGAGAGTTTATTTAGGTCAGTAAAGTGTTGCTTTGCCCAGAATGAAACTCTTGGCTATTCCTCCCAAACTCTGGGTATTTATAGTCTGAATGTACCCTTGCCATAGTTGCTTCTCCACATGTTCTTACCGATAAGCCCCCAGCAGGGTCCCTCAGCAGCTGGGCTACTGAGTTCTTATCAACAACAAATGAGATGGTGACATCTTGACACAATTTACTTCATTCTTATATCAGAACAACAACTTTTTTTGTCTTTGTCATAAACAAGTGGATTAAAACAACTTCACTAAGTTGTGAACAAGTGGATTTGAAATCATATCAAACCAATACACAACAACTCGTATTAGTCTTTTCTTATTCTACATTTTCATAGTCTTTATTCAAGTATATTACAGCACAGTATTATTTAGATTTGCTTCAATTAACTATTACAACCCTTACATATGGGGCCATGTCTGGATCACCTGGGATTTTCCACTCCACTGGATATAGTAGCTAGTACTATTCCCTGAAAATACTGGCGCCCAGTAAATTCTAGCTGAGTCAAAGCAGATCACTGAATCACACAGACATGAAAGATCTGCAATAATAGAGCTATGAGACATAGATAAATAAAAACAGGAGATAACTCAAAAGCCTTGACATTCCATTTTATTTGGTTTTGGAACTTGGCTTTATAATATATGTTAGCGTTGTAAATCCCCTAATCCTTGAACAGCCACCTACACTTCAGGTACTTGTGAAGCATATCAGAGAACTCCCCAGGTCCATCAACATACAGTATCATACAGTCAGGTCTTTGGCCCCCAAGCCCTGTGTGGTCCCCTGCTCTGGAGAGCTGGGGGAGAACATTTGTTGTCTCATCTGTAAGGACTGCTCTTGTCCCTCCAGCTTCAACCTGGAGCATCTTGATGCATTTGTTGAGCCCCCCTGACTTTCCCCCAGGGAAACATTTTTCTCTCTGGCTAGCCAGAGTAGACAGAGGTTACACACTCAAATTCTTAAAGCCTACTGGCATAATCTGTGCAAAGATATGCTTTTCACAGTCAACATTAAAAAAAAAAAAGACAACACAGGATGCATTTAAGCAGAGCATTCACTTTCAAATAGACACAGGCATTACCATTTTCTGCCAGTACTGTTCACATTCATAGAATTTCACTGGTCTCTGAATTCACCTGTTTTCAATTTCTGGTAATTGGAAGAAAGCTATTTTAAACCACTCACCTCAGATGCTCCATCGTGGTGTTCACATTGCCTTTCACCTTGATGATCGTCTTTGGAGGCAATGTGTGGCAGTGTATGTGTGTCTAGGTCTGTCTCATTGTGTCAGCTGTTTGCGAGGGAAGAGAAATAAGAGGTCTTGAAATTAGGAGATCAAAAAAACAAAAGAAAAATCAAAAAATTACCCACACATAAGAAACAGACTCAGGCTTCGCTTATACCACAGAAAATCTTTACCTTGTGGCAGCAAGACCAGATTTGTCCTCCTGATCGGTGTCATTTCCTCCGTTTCTCCTGGGGCAGGGGAGAGGTTACGCTCCCAGACTCTAGAAGTTGCTATCAATATTCAGTAGAATTCTGCTATATCTTTCAAAGCAAATAACGACTCTGCGAAGATTCAATCCAGAAGTTTTTTAAACTTCATCACTTGGGTCTTTCTCGACTCATCCATACTCTCCTCTGCCCAAGCTTGGGAAGAAGTTCACAGGTTTTCTTTGATAAGAGGATGAGAAGTAAGTAATGCATATTTTGAATCAAAAAATGCTTTTCTTTCAAATATAGATTTGCATGAGGAAATAGTATTTATTATAAATGATGCATTTTATTAAGTGCTATCTCATTTGGCCACATAAATAACTATTTGAAGAAAGCATCTTTAGCTCCATATTAAAGATTAATTTTTAAAAATTATTCAATTACTTATGGAGTGTCTACTATCTACCTGGTGCTACTCTGTATGCTGAGATATTACAGTTAACAAGACAGACAAAAATCCCTGGGACAGGAGTCCATATTCTAATTGGGTGAAGACAAAACATAAATAAAGAAATAAGTACAATACATAGTGAATTATTTTTCCAGATGGTGATTAGGGTTATGGATTAAAATCAAGCAGAGGAAAAAGACGTGCAATGCTAGGGTCAGGGAAGGGGGTTGCAATCTAAAATAGGTTTCTTTAGGGCAGGACTTACTGAGAAAGTGATATCTGAGCAAAAACCTAGATGAAATAATGAAAATATGAATAAGAGTGAAATACCAGAATGAAGAACATTACCAACCACTACAAATAGTAATAACAATGGAAATGTAATAATAATAATAATGGATTTCAAGGGGCTGGCCAAGTGGCGTAGTGGTTAAGTTCGCACACTCTGCTTTGGTGGCCTGGGACTTCCAGCTTTGGATCCTGGGTGCAGACTTACACACCACTCATCAAGCCATGCTGTGGCAGTGTCCCACATACAAAACAGAGGAAGCTTGGCACGGATGTTAGCTCAGGGCCAATCTTCCTCACCAAAAATAA